CCTCCATTAAAATGCTTCATATGAAAGGATAAACAAGCTACAGATATCCGAATGATGTCAATTTTCTTAAACTGAGGTTTACTATTGCATTCATAACAAGGTGTACTAAAAGAAGACGAACAAGAATAACAACCATAGTAAAGAATAGTTCCATAAGCAAGATATCTAGTATAAATTTTAGTTTTCACTTCAGGAATAAACCAACTACAGAACTTAACATTATACAGAATGGTTTATAACAATTTTGGTAAAATAAGATAGTTGTGCTTCATAGTTGTAACTACAAATTATTAATTAGAAAATTCATGTTAATGTCATTGTAGTCTTTAAAAGTTACAATCGCAGTTTCGAAGCGGCACGGCACATAATTTTGTTTTAACAGTAATGCATGGTGAGAGTTTAACGCAGGGAAATTACCAACTGCATTTTAAGCTAAATTATATATTATTAAAGCGTAGTCAATGAGTGACGGGGAAGCATGGAATACATTGTAATATGTGGGTCTATTCATAGAAGGTTTCACCGTAAGCATAAATATCCAAAGAGAAGAATATGGTCGCACCTTGCACCAATGTCAACAATAGACTTTACAAAAATTATCAAATGCCATGTAGTAGATGCATTACGCCTAACAATAAAGAGATCAAGAGTTGCAAATATTAAAAAAATTGGTAAAAAACTTTTTATGTTAAAAGGTTTTATGTTAAAAATACATTGCAATGTTTAAGATAAATGTACTAAATACCAAAAAAAATAATAAATAAAAATAAATAATAGATACAGGAATTATAAACGTATGCATAGACTTGACTAAAATAAAACCGAGGGGCACGTCAATTCTCTACAATATGCATATTCAATTGAAGTGCCCCTCGGTTTTATTTTAGTCAAGTCCATGCATATGTTTATAATTCCCACGACTGTATCTATTTTTTATTATTTTTTGGTTTTTGGTACATTTATCTTAAACATTGCAATGTATGTTTAACATAAAACCTTTTAACCTTTCTAGTTTTTAGTTTTTATTTCGCATTCTGTTAAATTCATATTTTTATTTTTGAATTATTGAATTACTTGAATTACTAAATTTGACCCAAGAATAAATAATAAAACAAACGGGGTAAGCTAAATAAAACTTTTTAAAAATCAATTGTTGTTCGTTGGTAATGGAATCAGTTGAGAACGGCTGGACAGATTTTCATTTTTTTTTTTTTTTTTTGAACAAACGTTCGTCATACCCGATTTAGGGTTTTAAAGAAAAATATTGACCACGTCTACTTTTACGCCCATTATTTCGATTTATCTAAAATCCTTATATTTGCCAGAATAATGAAGATATGGGTTTGAAAATCATTACACGACATACTGTTGACTTTCCATCCAACCCTATGTATTTATTTAGAGCAGAGGAACTGACAACGACTAAAAATCAATTGTTGCTCGTTGGAAATCGAATCAGCTAAGAACGGCTGTACGGATTTGGATATTTTTTTTTTAAATGTTCGTCCTACCCCGTGTTTGGTTTTTATGCAAAGAAAAAGTGGCCACCCCTACTTTTATGCCCAATTTTTCGATTTACCTAAAATTCTAATATTTTAATATTTATTTTAAATTTTCTTTTGGCTATTTGTAATTATAGTGGAAACGTTTTCATGAATGACAATTTTAAGAAAAACCTCTAAGGAATTTTGTATAGAATTGTTTCATTGAAAATTCTTATTAAAAAAACGAGCAATTTTGCATATATTCTATACAATTTTGATTAAAAAATACTTCTCAAAGCATCAAAACATATAAAATCTCAACGTACTTTTAAATTGGGGCTATGCATAATGGGGAACAATAGTAAATTAAAACAGTAAACAGTTATTGCCGGTATTGATTTTACAATACTGAAAACTTTAAATGTCAAATTACAGTTAAGTCGGTAGAAATTATAACAAAAGCATACAAAAAGATGAATGTTTAGCGGTATCATTATACCTAAAGGGAACGTATATATTCTAACTTCCTAGGATTTTAACGAACGGCAACCTACACAGACGGATATAGATTAATCAACAAAAAACATGGTCTTCTAAAAGTTACGAATTCAAAATTCCTTTTGATTTGAAAATATTGTTAAGACTTTTATAATACTGACAATTGAGGTGTGAAAATTTATATAAAAACGATAATATAATGAATATAAAGAGGTACTGTAGAATAGGAAATAAATGATAAAGTGGACTTTTTCGTCATTTTTTAACAAATGATTTATAACCTCGAAAATGCTTTTGAGACCTTAAAAATACCTCAAATCGGCAGGTTATACGGGAAATCAGTATTAAAGGACTAGACTTAAGTGTACTGAAATCATAAAATGCCACATTAGAGCACATTTAGTCGACGAATATTAGGAGATAATATAATATGAGGGTTATTTCTAAATGAGAACCTTTTGTAACATTAATAATCCTAAGAATAAGATGTGCTAAGTTTAAAAGACGCATATTAAATTTTGTGACCTCTATCGTAAATTCAAATGGAGAACGGAGAAGCTCACGGCATAATTTAATCGTCAAAAATGTGTGGGGTCCAAAACTTTCATAAACCGATGACACCTTATTTATGATAGTTCAATTAAATTTAGAAATTATTATCGACTCTGACGACGAAAACACCAGAAAATTGAAAACATATATGCAAGTGTATATGCAACATTTCATTCATTCACCATAAATATCTATTGTGCACTCTAAATAAATAATGAAACGAATACAACAATAAGCCACAAAACAAGGAAAACAGCAATAAGCATGAACACCGTCAAATTTGTAGATTGGCGATAGTTGCAAGCCAACATTGTTTATCAAAGTTTACGCTTTTTAAAGAGGAAAAGCTAACCATTTACAACTTATATTAGATTATTAAAAATATGCATTACACGCTAATACTATGGGCCAGCAACGCGGTCCAGGTTAGCTAGTTTTAAATAAAATCTGAAATATTAAACAAAGCCACCTTGGCCAATTATTCACATTTCCATCTAACAGAGCCAACAACAAACTCAAAAAAAAGAACTATAGATATTGTATGAGTTATTTCAATCGTAGGCTACAATCAATCAAAAACTGTCGCTTCAAGTATTTTAATTTTTACCTTACAAATTAGAAATGTTGAACAAATATTCATTTTCTATACATGTATGGAGTATGTTAGCGCCGACCGAACTTTACACTTCTTTACTTTTTTGCATTTATTATTTGTGTGATAAGGAGGTTATTACAAGGAAGATGTGACTCCTCAAGTTTTCGGCTTAAGTTGAGTTTAGGGGCTATGCTTGGATTGACCTCAAATTTTTACCTGATTACGGCAATATAATTTTTTTGTGGGGGAAATACCCGGTTACCCGGTTATTCGACCCAAAAGTTCGGATACAACATCCGGTTTATATCCAGTTCTACGTAACCGATATCAATAAAATGGGTATATTTGAAAGCTTATGAAAATACCTATCCAACAAGTAGTCATATGACGGGGTTACTGAAACCGGTTTCGGAGAAATTTAGGAAAATTTGCATTTTTTGTATGAGTACTTTTTGAAAAACCCATAAAAACTCGAAAATGGACCCATTATAGGGTCTTAAAATCTATACACTATATTATAGCTAACACTATTGCCTTTCCAAAATGGTGTCATATGTGTTAATTCGGTGTTGTTAGAATATTATGGATCGCGTAGCCGGTGTTGGACATACACCAGAGGAGAAAATCTTAAGCCCCGGCCGAAGGCCGGCTACTAACAAAAATTACAATTTTTAGAAAAACTATGGATCGCGTAGCCGGTGTTGGACATACCCCAGAGGAGATAATCTTAAGACCCGGGCGAAGGCCGCCTACTTACAAAAATTACAATTTTTAGAAAAACTATGGATCGCGTAGCCAGTGTTGGACATACCCCAAAGGAGAAAATCTTAAGCCCCGGCCGAAGGCCGGCTACTTACAAAAATTACAATTTTTAGAAAAACTATGGATCGCGTAGCCGGTGTTGGACATATCCCAGAGGAGAAAATCTTAAGCCCCGGCCGAAGGCCGGCTACTTACAAAAATTACAATTTTTAGAAAAACTATGGATCGCGTAGCCAGTGTTGGACATACCCCAGAGGAGAAAATCTTAAGCCACGGCCGAAGGCCGGCTACTTACAAAAATTACAATTTTTAGAAAAACTATGGATCGCGTAGCCAGTGTTGGACATACCCCAGAGGAGAAAATCTTAAGCCCCGGCCGAAGGCCGGTTGCTTAAAAAAGCTATAAAGGTCAAAGTCAAATGCATCTAGACTAGAGAAAAATATAATTTAATGAATTCTATCTCTTATATCACAAAAGATATCAACACATATGACACCATTTTGGAAAGGCAATAGTGTTAGCTATAATATAGTGTATAGATTTTAAGACCCTATAATGGGTCCATTTTCGAGTTTTTATGGGTTTTTCAAAAAGTACTCATACAAAAATGCAAATTTTCCTAAATTTCTCCAAAACCGGTTCCAATAAGCTTTCAAATAATACCCATTTTATTGATATCGGTTACGTAGAACCAGATATAAACCGGATGTTGTATCCGAACTTTTGGGTCGAATAACCGGGTAACCGGGTATTTCCCCCACAAAAAAATTACATTGCCGTAATCAGGTTACAAATACCTACCTGCGGTAAAAATTTCAAAATAGTCCGAGCATAGCCCCTAAACTCAACTTGCTCCAAGTTTTCTAATACTACATGGACCACAATAGTTCAAAATACTCCATACTCTCCTCTCTTTAACCACGTCGACTACTCAGGACACGAAATAGAAAAGGAAACACACATGCACTAATTTTCGAAAGGACCTCCCAAGAATTTTTCGGACTTTTTCTTTAAGAAACCCCCTTTAAACGAGTAGGTTCTCTACTCTGTCCGCAGGAACTGTTACTGTTAATGGTTGCTTTTGATTATCGTTGTAAAGCAATCTTACCTGTATTTTAACAGAAAACTCGTAAACTCCCTTTGTAGCTTTGCGACAGTGCAGAATATCTTTTTGGGTAGGCACATAGTCGTATTTGGCCAGTCTATCAATTTCATCTAAGAAATAGTTTACTGAATCACTCTGAAATACATATTTAATTTTGTAATATTTTTACAAATTGTTATTAATAGAAGATCTTACTATTTGAAACTCTCTTCGGCGCTCGTAAGCTCGTCGAATACCACGATCTTGCCATAGACGTTTTATAGTCGTAGCATATTGAGCGAATTGTTCAGCCTCAATAGATATACATTCCATGCATTTTGTTTCCATTGCATCCTTGTCTCTATCGTTATTTCCCCAAGAAATTTCAAGTTTTTCTCTAGCGTCAATCAATACTTGCATTCCTAAAATTAAATATATCAACATTTGCAAAATAGATAATAACTGCCTCACAAAATACCTCTAATAACATTCTGATATATCACATGCTGGTACTCCTTTAAAAGTTCCGGTTCAAAGTTGACACCATGTATTATTCTCATTTGTTTCAAGAAAGTCGATTTTCCGGATTCTCCAGCTCCTAACAGTAATAGTTTGACCTATAAAACATATAAGATTTACAAAATCTACATAAAATACAAATAGGGATGTACGTACTTGGCGACGAAATGTTTGCTTTTCTTTTTCTAAAAATTTATCAATCTCTTTTGATTTGCATCGTTGTTCCAGTTCTTCAGGTGTGTTTCTCAGACGGATCAAATATTTAAGCAAATTTCCACAACAGCGTAAGCACGCGAATCTTGATGATTGAAAACGACTATATGGACCTCTATTAACGACATCACTCTGCGCACTGCGGTTGTGATGATCTTCCATGAGTTGTGTAGTGCCAGTGCAACCAGCACCCGATATTTCGCCATGGGCCATGTCACTGAAGCTGTTCATATTTTTCTATGCCAGAATTTGCTAAAAAATTGGCATCAGGTATTGTATAGCATGATAGGTGAACTTCTGCAATTATTTTGCAGTGAACACTTTTGCTAAAAAAAAATTTAGTTACAAACAACGAAATAAAATTAAAGTATTGCAAATCAAAACAAGCTGCAGTCGCTACTATTTTCACCACCTAAGAGTTCGTAGTCGCTTTGCAAATTGACGGAGTTGGTGTAGATATAATTTGACATCATCACAATAGATTTTATATCGATTACTTTAGATTGTGCCACAGGTAAGAATCACTAGATACAGGTAAATACTGAATTTATTTAAACTCGAAACAATAAGTATTATATTAAATTGTATGAAAAATTTTTAATAAGATTCTTTAAACGCTTTTGATACCTTAAATTGTACACGAATACAACGGAGAAATACGCCCAAACAATAACAGCTGAGCATTAAAATTGGCATTGCCAGGTATAAAGTCTGAAGTGCTGAAATGACAGCTCATGTTCTTTTCCCACAACAATGACGTTGGCCGAATGTCAATAAATGTGTACACACTATGAAGCACGTATTGTAGTAAAAATTCATAATTAACAGTTTTACATTGTTTTTAATAGAAACCCGTTTCTTTACAACATTTTAATAGAAGAAATAAAAAATTTCTCACAGGGTGAGTCTTACGTTTTTCCTCAAATGTCTACAAAAAATATATCTGGTTACATGGCCAAATTAACAACAAATTCTCATTTTCCAAATAATTTTTTATTCATATTTATTCATATATTTTTTCGTGTTAGTAATCTATTAAGGCTTATATTACGCGTTGTATGAATTAGTATTTTCCATTAAATTTAGTAAATCATCCCTGTAAAGTACTTTTAGTTAATTTCTTGTATTTATGCACAATTACGGAAGGTAGGGCAAAGCAACCCCCTGAAGTGTGGGGAAAGATGAATATGTTTATAAATGCGGTTGTAAGATTTAGAAGATTTTCCAAAGGAATTTTAGTTTTATGTAATTCTTTGGTTTTTCTTCTATTGAGCTTACAATCTCGTCGCTTGGGTAAATAAAGTTTTTTTGTCATAGAAGTTATTTTTAAAATAATTTCTGGGAAGAATATCCCAGACAAAAAATAAGGGAACTGATGAGGATTTGTGGCTCTTTCAGAAACTTAGGTATTCCCTGCCTTAGCCCCAGATAAACATTACCATCGTTCTCCACTAATAAACAAACGTTGTTTTTATAAAACAACAATAATGGGATTATGCCTGACCATTTTGCAACAACAAAATACGATGGTATCCCGAACAAACATGCCAACACTGTTCTATTAATAGACAAGGCACGGTCGACGAAAAGACAAAACCAACTTATATGGTTATGCTACTTCGTTCAGGTTGAACGAAAGCATAACAAGTGGAGAAAGATGTAAATGTTTATAAGTGCGGTTGTAAGATTTAGAAGACTTTTCAAAAGAATTTTAGTTTTATTTAATTCTTTTGTTCCTCTTCTATTGAGCTCACGATCTCGTCACTTGGGTAAAAAATGTTTTTTGTCATAGAAGTTATTTTTAAAATAACTTCTGGAGAGAATATCCCAGACAAGAAACAAGGAACTGATGAGGATTGGTGGCTCTTTCCGAAACCTAGATATTCCCTGCCTGGTAAACATTACCATCGTTCTCCACTAATAAACAAACGTTGTTTTTATAAAAAAAAATAAAAGGGATAAAGCCTGACCATTTTGCAACAACAAAATACAAAATACTCGACGAAGAGGTTTTTGTTGTAACAGACAAAACCAACTTACATGGTTATGCTACTTCGTTTATGTAAAACGAAAGCATAGCAAGTGGAGAAAGATGAAAATTTTTATAAGTGCGGTTGCAGGATTTAGAAGATTTTCCGAATGAATTTTAGTTTTATGTAAATCTTTGGTTCCTCTTCTATTGAGCTTACGATCTCGTCACTTGGGTATAAAACAAATTTTGTCATAGGGGAGAATATCCCAGACAAAAAACAAGGGAACTATTGAGAATTGGTGGCTCTTTCCTAAACCTAGGAATTCTCTGCCTTACCCCCGGTTAAACATTACCATCGTTCTCCACCAATAAACAAACGTTGTTTTTATAAAAACAACAATAAAAGGGATAAAGCCACCAACCACTTTACAACAACAAAATAATATGGTATCATGAAAAAACATGCCAGCACTAGGTGTGTCTGGTTACTTTTCCAGCAGGAATTGTCCAGCAACTTCTTTCTGAGAGAAAAGGTAGTTTTATTCTCTTTTGCAAGGAAAATGCGAAAAGTAAACAGACGGTATTCCTGCAGAAGCTTGCAACTAATCAGCTGATTTGTCAAAACAAACCAATTTGTCCCCCATAAGCAATACTAATTTTACAAGTTTTTTAAATAAAAATGTTGGAAATAGTCTTTTATTTTCTTATTACATATTAACATTTACGTTTTTCACATTTTGTAAAGTTGTTCTCCAAAAACTATTAGTCTTGCTAATTCCAAAAAAATATTTTCAAATTGAAAGCACAAAAATAAATAAACAAACAATAGAAATGATGATTGAATGTCGATGAATGAGAAGAAGAAGAGTTGCAAGTGATTGCAAGAAGAAATTTGTCCAGCAAGAATTTGCAAACTCTCACTGAAAGAACTGTCAAAATTTTTCTCTCCAACAGCTCTCTTTTGCAGAACTTTCGTGTTAACAGACGACTTCCAGTAACAATTTGTAACAATTGTTACAAATTTTAGGGTAACCAGACACACCTACTGTTCTACAATTGTTTTCTTTTGGTGATCCTATTATGTCAAAACATATAGACAGTTTTTATATATGTGTGTATTGTTTCGAAAAAAATAAAATAATTTGAAATTATTTCAAATTCAGTTACAGGAGAAATTCATATATTTGGTGTTAATAGGCAATAAATTGTACAATATTTGGACAAAACAGTATTGTCTAATTTTCTAATTTTGGGCAAAAACCCCAAAATATCTATTCATGTTTTGTGGTTTTCCTCGAATATAAGCATTTGGTTGAAAATTGTAAAATAAACAAAACCAATTGTTGCATATTTAAAAGTCTATTGTATTTTTCCTACTTTCTTGAAGTTGTATTTGAATTCTTCAATAAACGATTATCATTTCAATAAACAACCAGTTATGAACCCAGATACGCGGCAATTTTAAATTGTTTATAGCGAAGAAGAAATTGTTGTAGGAATATAAGCGAAAGTACCGTGTTGAACAGGCTGATACGGCGACAAGGCACAGATAAAAAGAAGTATATACCAAATTATTATTCTTGTGGTAAAACTGGTCACATGAAGATAAACTGTCCAAGTTTGAATTCACAGAAGGAGAGATAGAACGACGACAGAGTTTATGGTGATGAGCATGCTTGTTTTGACATAAGTGATATGAGACGGCTTCTAAATGTCATATGTGCTGCAAAGAGGGATATTTTGTCAAGTTCAACAAGAATATTAGAAACGAGTGGTACAGACGACTATGAGGTGTTTTGTGAAGGCAGAACAATAAGAAACTTTGTTTTTTGTCCATGAATTAGATGAAAGTTTGTGGTCAGTTCGCAAAATAAACTATTAAAGGTTTTGGTGTGGTATTTAAGTCCGACAACAAATTATAACCGGCTGGTAGCTCTACCTCTATTTGGGAGTCGAAGAAAGCTTGGTGGATAGTATCTATTATTTATCCCAAGAGCTTTATATAGAGATATTAAATAAAGAGTTTTATATGGAAAATGCTACCGGATATTTGAAAAATGGAAATGGAGTTTTATATGAAAATAAAAAAATAGGTAAAAAACTTTTTAAGTTAAAAAATGTTTAAGATAAATGTACTAAAAACCAAAACACAATAAAAAAATAGATACAGTCGTGGGAATTATAAACATATGCATATACTTGACTAAAATAAAACCGAGGTTCACTTCAATTGCATATGCATATTGTAGAGAATTGACGTGCCCCTCGGTTTTATTTTAGTCAAGTCTATGCTTTTAATGCTTTTAACTTAAAAAGTTTTTTACCTATTTTTTTATTTTCTAGTTTTTAGTTTTTATTTCGCATTCTGTTTAATTCATATTTTATATTTTGTACCATTTTGTTCCCACGAGTAATGGACATTTAAACGGTTGACAATTTTAGCCACCCTAACGCCACACAATCCTTAACACGCTACAAAATCTTGACTTGAGGGGTGGAATCAGGCTGGATTAATCAGATACCAGAATTACAGATGCAATTTCTAAATTTAAATCTTATTATTATACGCCATTTAGTGGCTGCGCCATCTTAAATATTGAACTTGTATAGTATAATGTATTCTTCTTGTCATGCCCCTTCATTTGATACCCATATTGATGGGATTGATAAAACCTACGTTATCCGCCAATCTGGTAGCGGCCGTTATCTTGGATTTCAATTTTTTATATTATGTTGTATTCTGCCTTTTGAGCCCTTTCATTTGATACCCATATTAATGGGTATCGGCGGCTTTTGGATTTATAATGAATAAACATAATTGTATTGTCGCCAAAATCCAAAGTGTATACAAAATTTCAGATTAATCGGTTGTCAAGCACATAGTGGAATTTGAATTACTAAATTTGACCCAAGAATAAATAATAAAACAAACGGGGTGAGCTAAATAAAACCTTTTAATTAATGATAACTTTTATCGAAAAAATTATTGGATAATTGCTTTATATTTCAAATAGCACTCTTCCTGATATTTTCTTGGTATCTATTTCTCCAGGAATTTATGTAGTGCTATGCATGTGGACTGGATAGAAGTTAAACGGATTCGACGAAACTTAAACGACACCAAAATATAAAAATGTTTGCAGGCTCTAAAAGTGATTTGATGCTAACAGTCTATGCGAATGCCGATTAGATGGAGAGGGACGTAAATCCAAAAAAATGTGCGGCTCCTGAGTTTAAACGTTATGGTTCCTCTCAATAAATTATATACAAAATGCTTTTGCTAGTCATTTTTTTCGTTGCATCGCTTTCTTTGTCGCTCCCTTAAAGACGCAAGTCGGGCCCCTGCTGTATACATAGACTAGTGCATGGTACAATGAAGAGAAGGTAGGTCAACTTTGAAAAAATTGCAAGTATAGAGGTCTACCTGTTTGGCTTGTAATGTCAGAATTAGTATCAAAACAATAAAAAATCAAACAACTTGTTGCATTTATTTTGAATAAATAATAGAAAACAGCGATAACTGAATGAAATGTCAACATTTCTTTTCAAAATCATTTACTATATATCTCTAAAGAATTATTTCGCTACAAAAACTCTAGATTTTGTCGATGCATACGTTGAAATAAACATTTTGAAAACACCCGAATTTGAATATTTTCTGAACAATTTTTGTGTTATTGAAAAGGAAACACATACATAAACAAATAAAGATGACATATTAAGCCAAGAAA